GTGATTGATAATGAAGAATAATATTTACTCTAAAAGACAAATATTGACTTCCGAAGTCTTTAGCACACCAAAAAATCAACCCCCAAAATATGAATCTATAAATTGAACGTTCATAGCATGATAATTTATCCAGAAATCCCAGCACAACCATGCTAAAATACCCCACTTTCGCATTTTTCTTCTTCTTTATTTGTCTTGAACCTACTGCTTCAGCTTCTTTTGCTGAAGCTACCGCTCTCCTGAAATGGAAAGCCAGTATTATAAATAAAAACAACTCGAAACTAAAATCATGGAATCTTGAAACCAAGAATTCCACCAATTTTTCTGGCCATCCAAAAGCAAGTTCAAGTCCATGCAATTGGTTTGGAGTTTCTTGCATTGACGGAAGTGTCAATAGGTTGAACCTCACAAATGCAAGCATTCATGCCTTCCTCTACGAGTTTCCATTCTCATCTTTCCCAAATCTGGCTTATATAGATCTCTCTGTCAACCGTCTCTTTGGCACCATTCCACCTCAAATTGGTAAACTCTCTAACCTTGTCTATCTCAATTTATCAACCAATCAGTTCAGAGGAACTGTCTCACCTCAAATAGGTAAACTTTCCAAACTCGACTATCTTGATCTATCAGCTAATCAGTTTACAGGAACTATTCCATCGGAAATAGGACAATTGAGTAATCTGAAGTTTCTTCGTATGGCCGAAAATCAGCTTGCTGGCCTGATTCCTCAAGAAATAGGCCAATTATTGTCCTTAAGTTATATGTCATTGCGCACTAACAAACTTGTGAGTTCAATTCCTGTTAGTTTTAGCAATTTGAGAAACTTGACCAGCTTGTACCTTAACCAAAATCAGCTTTCTGGTCCAATTCCTCCCGAGTTCGGAAACTTAACATCACTTCAGGAACTAGCATTGAGCACAAATAATCTCACAGGTCAAATTCCAGCTTCGTTGAGTGGATTAACTGGTCTAAGTACTCTCTATCTTCATTCTAATCAACTTTCTGGTTCAATTCCTGATAGTTTTGGAAATTTG